CCCTAACAACCAGGGCCACCCAGAAAAGAGAACAGAATCAGCTTACATTTGCACAAATTTAATCCCTACTGTTCTGGGCCCCAATTCCAGAGCCCTCAGGGCCACATGTCCCTTCTCCTGGTCAGCCAAGGCCTTGTCATCCACCACATCCCTCCTATGGGATGCCCAAGCAGGACCAGGCCTCCCAGGGGCCACTCTGTCCCCACCTTGACTCTTGTTGAATAGGGACACATGACCTTGCTCTAACCTTGATCTGGCCCCATTCTGGAGGGGGAGATCAGGGGCCCATTAGGAGAGGCAGCAGCCAGGTCAGGAGAAGGAGCCAGGCGGAGGTGCAGGGGCCTGAGAGAGCCCTGTTGCTCATTTGGTTCTTGATCCATTTGCTGTATTTGGTGACGCGTGTGTACACACCTGGGTTCTGTGCTTTGGCACAGGCCTTTTCCCAGGACATCACCCCAGCCAGAATCCACCTGTCCTCCACTTCGCAAGCCAGCGGGCCCCCAGGGTCCCCCTAGGCAAAGAGAGGGGCGTGACGGAGGCTCTGGGCCCAGCTGGGACCAGGAATCAGGGGACCCAGAACGCCCACTCGGAGTTCCACTTGGAAGATCCTTTCGCTTCCTTCAGGATCTCACTACCCAGGGTCCTGCTTCAGCGCCAGAGTTGGGGACCGGCCCCAGAATATTAGGCAAAATCAAAGTCACAGGGGAAGAGGGATGGGAGCAGAGCACTACCTAGGGATGGTGACAGAAGGAGGCCAAGCTAACCCCTCCCCGGGGACCTCCCCCTCACCAGGGAGTCCTTCCCAACAGGAGAGCCCTCAGAACCTTCCCAAACTCACATTGCACAGGTTTTCTCCATAATTGGTGGCACAGATCATGTCCCCCAAGATAAGGGGGAGGATGTGGGAGATGGGGGACTCTTTCCGGTAAATCTGGTCACACCTCTTGTTGTCCATGATAAACACCTCCGCCTCTTGCAGCTCTGGGGTCAGCGTGGAGTTGGCTGCCAAAGAGCCCAGTAGGGCGAGGATTAAGCCCTCACTCCACCCAGCCCTGGCCATTTCCCAGGGTCCTGTCACCTCCATCCTGGGGACTCAGCCCGCCCACCCCTTAGCACTTCCATGGCCTCCTTTCCTGGCCCTCCCCCTGCCAAGGGGACCAGGTCTGGCAAGCCCGTGTTTCTCTGGGAAGCTGTCGTCTCTGCACCAAGAAGGTGCCGTCCAAGTCACAGGGACAAGCTGAGAGCCAGCCACATGCTGCTGCTCTCCAGCCTGAACCCGGCCCCGGCTGCGCCCTCCGCCACCTGAATGAAGCTCACTCCTCCTACAGGTAGCTCAGGCCCAGAGCTCACCCCACACCCCTCTCAGCTGGAGTTCAAGATCACCTGACAAGCCCGCAGGTGGGGCTCAGGAGTTCAGCGTGGACCCTTGAACCAGGAGGTCGTGGTTCAATTCCGGGTCAGGGCACAGGCCCGGGTTGCAGGCTCAATCCCCAGTGTGGGGCGTGCAGGAGGCAGCCGATCAATGATTCTCTCTCATCATGGATGTTTCTCTCTCTCTCCCTCTCCCTTCCTCTCTGAAATCAATACAAAAATATATTTTTAATAAATGATCACCTAACAAGTCTTTCCCTGTCACCCTCCGCTCGGGTGAGCTCCCTGGGGGCAGGGCATGTGCTCCCACTGCCAAGGCCCAGCGTGTGGCAGATGCTTGAAGTCCGTCAAGTGAACACATGAGTGCGCAAATGTGTGACTCCCTGACTCTGAGCTTCTGATAGGCTGGCCTGAGGGCCCACGGCAATGGGCAGCAGTGCCCACGTGAGAACCAGTCTTAACACATTAAGGACCAGGGGCCGGAGGTCACGGCCACGAGTTCCCTGAGATGCCCTGAGAGGGGGCCCAGCAGGCACGGCCCCAGGAGGAACTGCTGCAGCCTCTGTGGGACCCCCAACCCCAACCCCCTCCTGCTCACCTGAGTAGCGCAGCTTGGCCTGGCTCCAGCCGGTCACCCAGCACTGCATCCCCACCTTCAGGTCGAAGGTGGGCTCCGGGAGGCAGATGGGCTGAACGTACTTGCTGAAGACGACGGGAGTGTGCAACTGCAGGAGGGCGACGTCGCCTATGGTGAAGGTCCGGCCCCAGAACTTGGGGTGCATGATGATGTCCTTCACCTGGATCGAGACGGCCATCCTGGGGTTCGTGGGCTTCAGCTGCGCGGTGCCGAGAGTCACGGAGTACTCTTTGGTGCTACAGGGGACACAGAGCCCCACCTGGTAGGTGTCAGGGTCCCCAGGACACCTGCTCCTACCTCCACCCAAGACCCCTCCCTTTGCAGGCGTCCAGCGGATCCAGCCTGGAGGCCCTTGGGGCCAGAGATGGGCTGCCTCCCCATCCATCATTCAAGTTGATTCAAAGTGTCCTGGCCTCTGTGTTGTGTGTACAGAGGTTGGTCTACATGTATGTTTTCATGCATTAGGAGTGGGGTGCCATACTGAGTTTGTTGCCCTACTTAGCACACGGTCTTTGTTGCTTGGGGCTCCCTGTAAGGTCCCCCTGTCTGGGCACTCCTTCCCATGCCCCCCACCTCTCCATTCATGTTGCTTCAGAGGAAGCGAGGAAGCCACACAGGGCCTGTTGCAGCCCCGGGTCTCCAGGCCCCCGACGCGTGGCCGCACTCACCCTTTGATGCAGTGGGCAGCAGTCACCACCCATTTGTGGTCAATGAGGGCCCCTCCACACACGTGCTCATCTTCCACACGGAGGCTCACCTCCCAGGGCCAGTGGCGGCTCATGTCATTGTCCTCCGGCCACCAGGGCTTGCCACAAACTTTAGGAACAAGATGCCGAGGAGATGCAGTGACCACCAGAGGAGGATCGGAAGGACCGCGACCAAGATGCCCTGGGGCATGTGCACCAGGCCATAAACCCAGGGCTTGTTCCCATTTCAGAGACAGGAGAGAAGGGCAGTGGCCACTCACAGCGCTGAGCCAGCAGAAAATGACTGACAGAGATGAAACGCATCGAGATAGCGACAGCACAGGGGGACACAGAGAATGTATTTTCTGTTGGGTGTGCTGGGTAGAGAAATGTCACTGACTGTGAGAGTAAGTTGTTGAAGGATTATATATACACCAAAAAAGTACACAAATGCCCTAGCTGGTTTGGCTCAGTGGATAGAGCATCGGCCTGTGGACTGAAGGGTCCCAGGTTCAATTCCGGATAAAGGCACATGTCCAGGTTGCGGGCTCAATCCCCAGTAAGGGGCATGCAGGAAGCAGCCAATCAATGATTCTCTCTCATCACTGATGTTTCTCTCTCTCTCTCTGTTCCTCTCTGAAATCAGTAAAAATATATATTTTTTAAAAAGGTTGGAAAGAGAGTAAAGAGAGGGAACAGGCCCTGACCGGTTTGGCTCAGCGGATAGAGCGTCGGCGTGTGAACTCAAGGGTCCCAGGTTCGATTCTGGTCAAGGGCATGTACCTTGGTTGCGGGTACATCCCCAGTGGGGAGTATGCAGGGGGCAGCTGATGATGTTTCTAACTCTCTATCCCTCTCCCTTCCTCTCTGTAAAAAATCAATAAAACACATTTTAAAAAAAGAGAGAGGGAATAGGAGTGGAGCACGGACATAAACAGGAATAACTTAATCAGTCAAGCAAATAATTCAGGACAGTCAGGGCAATAGGGGCCCATGAACAAGCAGGATACATCAGCCCCCACCCTTGAAGCATCAGGAAAAGGCAGGGAGACCCAGAAGAGCTGGTTCTGCGGGCACTGCCACGGGCTCTGAGGTCCTTATGTGAAAGGAACCGTTTGGAACCAGGAGGTTTCTGTGTAGAAGAGGGGCACCTCCCCTGGTCGGATGCAGCCGGGGCTGGAGGCAGAGGCCCTGTGTCCCACAGGGATGCTCTTTCCTCCCACCGGCAGGTCTGTATGTCCCGGCAGCACAGGCTGGCCTTTGGAAAGCAGGCCCCTCCCACTACGTGCCTGCTTCCTTCGGGCCCAGAAACACTAGGCACAGGTGACCCTCTTCAGAACCACCCCCCCTCCACAGGAGCTGAGGCTCTCCTGCAGCAGGGCTCAGCCTACCCACCTGATTTGGCATCTTCTCTGTCACCTGGAGAAAAGGGGCAGAGATGAAGAGAGCGAAGAGGGGTGTTTTCATGAATGAGTGCATTTATTCATTCACCAATATTTCTCTTCTCCCACTCGTTCCCAGCCCGGAGCCCCGAGCCGTAGGACACAGGTCATCAGGCAGGTACACGCTGCACTTGCCCTCGAGGGCCACGCAGCCAGCAGGGGAAACAAGTAAACACAATCACCCAAGGAGGTCGATGCAGGGACAAGGCACAGATGTCAGGGGAGCCCCGAAGAAGCCGTGGACAGAGAGGCTCTGGCAAGAGGGGTCATTGTGCCGAGTCTTAGAGAGAAGGTAAGCCACGGATGAGAAGTGACGATGACATTCCTTACAAAGGCAACACCTTGGTGCAGGCCTGAGCTCTGGAGGACAACGGGCAAGGCCTGTGATGGCAAGAAAGGAAGCCAGGGGTGCAGAGTCCGGGAGGAGGAGCCAGTGAAGATGGGACGTGGGCCGCTGGTCTTGTGAAGGCAGCGAAGAGAACGGTAGGAAGGTGACAAGACTGAGGGCAGCCAGGCCCCACCAGAGGTGCTGCAGAAACCAGGCAAGAAATGCGGAGTCTGAGTGAAGACGGGGTGTGAGAATCGACGTGGTGAGCACAGGGGGGACTTGGGGACATGGCCGAGTCCAGGATGACCCCTCCCCATCTCTGATCCTAGAGACGAGTGGCTGCCATCCTCTGAGTCAGAGGACAGTGAGGAAGCCCAATCTGTAGGAGGAGGGCCTGCCCGCAGCTGAGATGGTTCTCGCTGTCCAGGCGGAGGCGCCAGCAGGTGGGAGCTCGGCCACACACTGGGCAGCATCACATACAGAAGATGGCAGCTCACCGCCCGGGCAGGTGAGGGCACCGCCAGCAGCAGGGAGGGGTCGACGGCACCTTAGGGAACAGCAGTCCGTGGGGGATGAGCACATGGGCGGCTGGGAGGGACGAGAGGAGCAGGAGGTGGTGCTGAGGGAGGGAGCTGAGCTGCTGGGCCTCTATTTGATGGGACCTTCCTTCCGTTACTCTGAGCCTCCCCTACCCGTGATTTAAGCCTCTTGGGTGAAAGGGTGAGGGATTAACAAGTACAAGCTGTAGTTGCAGAAGTCACAGAGGGAAGTCAGTGTATGGGAATCCCTGGGCGTGGTGCCAGGTGGAAATGTCTGAATAGGACATGACTGTTTACGGCTGCGCTGTCCGCCTGGAACGGGTACAAAATAATACTGGATGTAACTTCGATTGAATATTAATGTTTCAGATTAAAGTTTCTCGTTGGGCACTCCCCAGACCACCGCTGTCTGCGCCCGCACCAGTCCCACCAGCCCCCGGGGCACCCGGGGACAGGGAGACCCGCTGCACCTGCGAGAGGAACCCTAACGCTCAGTCGTTGTTGCTCCCGATGCATCAAGTGCCCCCTTCCCCGCCCCTCCGTCTGGTTCCAGGAAACCGCCTTTGACTGTTTAGCCTGAGGGAGGGAGACCACCCAGGGCTGCGTCCACTGAGGAAGGGGGGGGGGGGGGGGGGGGGAGGAGGAGGATCTATCAAGTGAATCTAAAAATCAAATGAATAAATAATTTGTGGACCATTCTGTCACATGGAGACCTTGAGTCTGTGCGGGCCAGACCCCATGCCCAGGTGGGGTACCCCGGTGCCCAGATGCCTGGGGCGATGAGAGCGGGAGCCTGGGGATGCTGATTGAGGCTGGCTGGGGTCTCAACCACGATGGTCCAGGCTGCCAGCAGACAGAAGCGGCTGATCCCCCGGGAGAAAAGTCGGGGGTCCCCAGGAGGCTGCAGGCCCAGCAGGGGCTGGGGGAGGAGGCCAGAGAGGGCAGGGG